ATGTTTTCAACAATTGTTAGAATGAAGAATTTGCCAATTATGAAGTAAAATAGGGAACGACTCAGCCGTTTATAGTTTTCGACGTAGATCTCGGAGAAAAGTTGTCAAGTAGGGAGACTTGTACAGATGGTCGGACGATTGCGAATATCTTTTGATGGAGAATTTGTGGTATACTTCACCGGTGCGAATGAGAAGACTAATCAGTGGTGCTGTTCCTTGAAGAATTCGGGTAGAATCTTCCTCCTGATACCGTGGGAAATAACGTCGAGATCCGAAATTTCCAATAGTGAAGAACACCACAGTCATTGGGAATGATCGTAGATTTTCGCTTGCCAGATTGGGCATACTGAGTGCGGGAAGTAAAAGAATCGATAAGCCAAGAGACGACCCAGACAGGAGAGCCGCACGCAGAGGTTTAAGTAAGAAGAAGAGAGCGCGGGACAGTACTGAAGGTGGAGAAGTAGTCATGAAAAGCGCATGTGTACTCGCGGCAACCCTTGTCTAATGCTTTAAGAGCAGAATGAACCACAAGAAAAACAGTATTTAAAGTACTCCGTTTGGCTTTGTACGCAAATTATTTAGGGTTGGAAAATCTGGAAGAAAAAGGCTTTATAATATCTAAAGCAACTCTTTCAGCAAGCTTTAGTATTGCGGAAGAGCAAACAATTCGTCGAAAAGATTTAGGACTAAAATTAGCGGGCTTTTAGGGATGGGAGTGATTCTCACTGTATGCCAGGCGTCGGAATTCTTGGAACCATAAAAGACATATTAATGAGATGCGTTAAAATAGGGGCTATCTGAGAACTACATGATTTAAGAAGAAAAAGCGAGACACCATCCGGTCCGGCAGCTGTTGATTCACGGACCTTTTAGAGGTGTTTCTCTACACGGTGATAGGGGATTGTCATCTAAGGGAAGAGGGGAGTCATTGTTACTTAATATAATATTTATTTAGGGAGTCTAAATCAGCATCCATATGCACCAGTGTGTTGCGATGGCCAGTGAGACGCTTAAAATTCTTCCAAATCTCAGAAGGGAAGGGAAAAGGGGGGGGGGGTAGTGGAAGAAGAGGTGAAAAGTTGGCTAACAAACAGGCTATTTAGCCTGTCAATCTTTGTATTTATTAAGACGGTAACATCCTTATGGCTATCACGTAAGCCTAGCTTGTAAAGGAGCTTTTTTACTTCTTAAAGATTTCACATAGGAGGAAGAAATTCTATCCAGTCGTACCATTAGGGTATCAAGAGGACGGCAAATATCGAAAGTTTCATTTAAAAATGCTGTTATGTTGGAACAAAGGGATTCAACATTCGATTGTTAAAGGAAAGAGGGGAGAGTATAAGAAATGCAAGTCTGAAGAAGGAGAAGGTTTTGTGGGGACGTGTTGCAAACCCTAACCTTTCTCTCAGGCTTGGCAAGCATTAAAAACAATATATTAAGGATATAAAAAGACACCGTGCAGCTGATGTGGTGGGAGGGTACCGTTTGTCAATTAAACCCATTTGCACTAACCTTGAGCCTGCATTCTTAACTGACGGCAGTAATCAACACAGACAGTAATATCGAATATCAGAAAGGCAAAAGATTACGTACCACGCTATGACAAGCATTAGGGCGACGTTAAGATTCACGACAACCGACAACAACATCTATATCGTGCAACGTTTCCGACATATTTTGAAAATTTTCATAGTTCTCTTCAGTAATTTTTATTGTTATTGTTCAACTCCATAGCCGATTATTGTGCTGTCATATTGTAACTAATCCTTGTGTTGCCGTCTTCTAAAGCTTGTCGTGATCTCTGTGAGCTTTGTCCTCATTTAGGTAAAACTGAAGATTTAATCGTGCAGTGCTACGTCAGTTGTCTTTCTGTGAGCACATCTCTTATTTTTCGCTTTTGTGTAATCGAACGCTCACAGATACTTGCAAAGGGATAAGCTAATATTTTGGAATCTTAACTTCGACTGCAAGGTATCCAGGATCTGATTCCTTTGCGCCCCTGAGCAACTGCGATTGCTATTATTGCCGCACTAATCGTAAAGGTGTCTCTCTGAACATGTTTCCTGGGTCACCCGTTTAATACACCTGATGGGCAGCATTATCCCAATTGCAGACTATGGCCGACAATGATTCCGTCAAGATTATTAAGTGTCATATTTCATCAAGCGCAACTGATCTGTTACTAAGTAAAATTAAGCCGGAAGATTCTAATTCACCTCCTCGTGTTCTCCCTTCACGGACGAATCCAGTTCTCTATCCACGACACACCCCTGGGCTTGTGGTAATTAAGTATTTTTTTCAAGGAGCGCCTTTGGCATTCTTTTTTCAATTACCGTGAATAATGATTTCACTTCTACGGTCGGGGGGGGGGAGGGGGGGCACTAGATCGTTGGCACTTGCGCGCATTATTTTTAATAGCTATTATTTGGTAAAATTTAAACTTGCAAGAATTGTAAAGGCGACTTTGATCTTTCGAGTTGATAAATGGATTAGAAGCAATCGAGGCGCCTTGTGACCTTTTGAGACCGAAGTTTTAGCATTTACACTTCTCCTATCGTTGTTACAAGGGAGAAGTAAATGATTGCGGCCACTTCTCTCACTAAGGTGAGGATAAACCTCGAGTATGAGGGCAAAGCTAGCTGTTTAATGGCAAGAAAGCTTGTAGATTTCAATTTTCCGAACACGCGTCTTCAACGAGTGTTTTGTAGACAGGAATCTCCAGTGCGTATTTTAGACATAAAATACGGGCGGGTTATGAACAAGTTGCTTATCTTCGTGTACTTCTCTGGAGCTTTCCTTCTTGTGTTAGGACAGATCGTTCATGTTCACATCCCTGCTGCCTTGTTAAGCAAATTCCATGCCCAGTATTTTGCTTAGAATTGTACGCATATTTTAAGCTCTGTGTGGCATAACTAGAACAAAGACTGGAAAATCGACTGCCAGAGTTCCACACTTTGATTTTGTTCGTCGGGTAACGGTCATGCATATTTTGGCATAATGCAATAATTGCGGAACGGACAGTTACCCGGACACTGTCGACAAAAGTTTGTTTTCCCCAAAGAAATACAACATGGCACCGCACAGTCACTTTACTTGCCGACTGTGATGCCGAGGTAGCAGGCACAGGCTAGGAAGAGTCACTGGCATCCGTATGGGTAGTTGATTAGTTTCAACTGACTATTCCACCCCTGCGTGGGCTACATTTATCGTCGACCGTCCACTGTAAGTACACTGTCTGCGTCCCTCAATGAGCTACATGGCCAAACTGTATACATAATTTTCGTTTACTTCCCAGCTTCCAACATGCTGTTGTTAACGACCGTTCCTTCATGCCATTATCTCGGTGCTGCTAGTCTGTCTATAGATACCACTACGATTACCAAAGGAGCCTATTTGGAATTTCGATAGATCCATCATTTGTCACTTTAGAGGGCTATTAACGTCCGGGTTCTCGCACGACATAGCTGCGGGTCGTCCATTTGGTTCATGTAATACCGTGTTTTTCAAGAATGAATTTCCTGTCCATAGATAAATCCGGCATATTTCAGGCAACACATGCCATTTCTGATGTAGCGCTCGGATGCAGGAAAAGCTGCAAGAAAACTTTCTAAATTTTTCCTTTCATATAACCTTGGTCAGTAATTTACAGCATAACGAAATACGAATACAGTACTCGAACGTAGTAACTGTACCGTACGCACTTTTTCCGGAACACACGCACAAACTTAGTGTCGTAGAGACTACCTACGAAAGTTGCTGAATTCTAGATTTTTTTCACTCAAACGCATCATCGCCACTGTTAAAGTAGGTTTCTTGGGTCACATTTTAAGTGGTCGATAGTTACTGTTATTCGCCTCCAACATTCCGCCGTCAGTGAGACGTTTTCGAGATCCGTACAGTTCCTTAATGGCGAATTTAATTAACAATAAAAATTCCCAACCTATTTGATGCACCGTCCCGAGCAAGATATCCAATTTGCGACGTAAATTGCAGAAGTATAATTGGTCACCACATCACCATTTCAGTGAGCTCTTTTCTAAATAGGTTGGAGTTTTTCTCGTGTGTATCAGAACTAGGAGACAAGCAGTATAATTAACAGTACAGGTGTGTCAACCAGTCAATCACAGGGGCTCATGACCACCTAGACTTCAACGCTCGGTGAAAAATCCCAAAATCTCATCGCATCTTTTGATATACGACTCAGGTCAGCTTGTCGGATATTCTACCCGTATTTTGAGCAGACGCCCACACCTGGACTGTCGCACATGAAACCTGGCTTTCAAATCATTACGGACAAGAAGGGCGGTTTTCAATTAGTTGGGACGACTTACTTTCCTTTAAAAGGTGGAGATTGGCAGCCCAATTTGAAAAACCGGTCTATTTTTAACTAATTGGAAACAAGAGAGGTCTCGCAGTCCTCCGTAGTCTAAGACTCAGAGGAATAGTCTTCTCCTGACCGTTTCCGATTTTTCAATCAGGCGTGTTCTAAAGTGCACAAAATCTATTTCTGCTAGTGTCATCCGCTGGGGAACCAGGAAGACTGTTGAAATTAAGCTTGTGTTCAGCCACCTAACGAGAAAGCGTGGGTTTTGTATGTTCACCTGTACTGCTGGGCCGATCAGAATTTTGCCTACAACAGGGGTGACATTGGAATACTACCGCGTTCAACGTATGATATTGCACCTACGGGGTCTAGTGAATCTCCTTGTGTGGGGCTAGAAGAAAACACGAAGTAGCCGGACGATAGGATGTAATTACTAATGAAATTCCTGTGAGGAAAGGGCATCTGTCTACTTAGAGATGTTTGGCCCCCCTTTCACGTTGGCCTGAAACACTGTTACGCATGGCATCCAGTCACTGTAAGCTGCTTTTTCATACTACAACTATTTCCGGCATTTGTGGTTCATTCTGTTGGCCAACACCTTTCGCCATTTCTGTATTCCCCTTAGTCTTACCGATAAATTCTTCACCTTCGCCTGCCATATATAGGATTTTGCATACCGGTCATGTTGAGAAGTCCTACGATTTGCCAAATGTACAAAGTTGCAAGAATTTTTCCCTTGTAGATGAATTCACAAACTGGTGCCCAAGTTCCGCCAACGCCCAGATTTAGCAGCTGTTATATCCCATCTCGCCAAAATCCCATCCGGATGCCATCTAGTCATCTGCCGGGAGTTGGTTTTGAAGGCTTCCCTGTCGTGTCGCACATGGGTTGTCCAGCAGGTCTTCTTTTGCCCGAGGCCATCTCCCGATCTGCTGCCTATGGCGTATTCACCAATTCTGCCCTTCACAGCCCTGCAGCTGGAGGGTCAGTCGCCCCGCCTCCTGTTCCCACCTGCCCTGATCGCCTCCCTGTAGACCTGTCCACCAACCGTTCCCGGTCCATCTCAAACCATACAGAAGGCAGCAGCCCAAGTGTCCAGTCATGCAAGTCCAGCGTAAGTTATCCACTCCACCTACCATCTCCTCCTGGATCTTCTCCCATCTGATTAGACTAGGTATAGTTGGCCACCTCATTCACCTTCCCGGCACTCCAATATAGGACGGGGAAAGCTTTAATGGACCAGCGGACAATGTATGGTTCCTTCTTTTTATCTATTCTCAGCGAACATTACCCTCTGACTTAAACCGGTCATTTCATTTCACTCCTGAAAATGTTCCATGTTCCGCAACGATACTTTTTTCTCTTCTCTGTCATGCGTTGCCACTGCGGGCTCTTCGCTGCAAGCAGAAAAAACCCAATCTCCCCTTCGATGGGTCCTTTTACTGTAATTAACAGCCCACAGACTTGAGCACTTACGTCCAAACCACCCTGCCTGTGATCAGATATTGTGTGTTACACCGAACTAGGTGTTTGCTGGCCTGTTTGGATCCTCTCAACGAAACGGCGCAGAGTTCGGTGTGTGGGGTCACAGACAGGTTACCGCCTACCGGGCTGTAAGGCGGCAAAGTGGGCTGACTCAGTGGTTAGACCTCATTCACGAACTACCGACACCTTGCATATGCACATGTTTACTTCCGATCCTGGCGTTAGTTACGGACAAGGTTGACTGAATATGGCAAGAATAAGCCCGAAAGGACTGCTCTCCCGGTACCCTATGGCTTCCTCGGTTTGGCTCGGCTACCTTCATTTTCTGCCGTGTACGTTTGGCAGAATACTCCGTATTTTAAATAGCTGTGTTGTGCAAAATCGTCTTATTTGTTTTCGGAGGTTACAGGTTTGTAACACTTCTCAAGGCTTTTGGTCAGCTCGTATGTTTGTTGACTTCAAGGGCTGTGTTTATTTCCTGGCAAATAACGGGTATCCTCGGGCCCTCTACGTAGGAGTCGTGTTAAAAAAATCACCTTAGCCAGGTTTCTCAATCAAAAACGGGCTCTTTTGCAATCGCACCGTTTCTGCTGGTCAGCTGTGAACTTTTACTCCAGTTCGTTAATTTTTTAGGATCGTTTTCTTCCGAGTCGTACTTTCTACCACGAATAATTTACTTACTTTCAATGCCGTGATTGCATACTCGTCGCACATTTGGGCAAATTTCTGATACCACTGCTTATCACTCCGACATGTTCAAAGGTATGCGGTGACCGACTTCGATAAGATGGAGTCTTCGGTCCCGCTCATCACAACATGTTCAGTCACCCGTGTCTCTGAATGCCTTTTGGCTTTGTCAACTTAACTACTCTGTCCGCCAGTGCATCATACTCATTAACCTGGTCTCGTCTTACTTAAGTACAAAAGATCGTTTGTCTCGTTGCACGTTTTGCCTCAGAATTATGCGCACCTACAGATCCGAGTAGTTTTTATAGACTACTGAAATCCTCTGGAATATCTTTGCCATACTTTGCTGGTCGCTCGACTTTGAAGAATTTTACCGAGTTGATTTTATTGTCACTGTCAGGTACCTGTGGTACCAAAACTCTCGCCGTGGGCGTTACTGTTAATCAATCTTCTCTCTTCCAGCGGACCAAAATGGTATTGTGAAGCCGTTAACTTTAATTGTCATTGCATTAGAATGCGTCCCGACTTTGCAGAAGTGACCGTCTTGCACATTTGCACATTTTATCCCTTCCCGTGGCCTCATAACAACAGATTGTTGCCCGAGCCCTCCATTATGGAAATGCTTGTTCTCTGAAAGATCTTGGTTTTATCCTCAAAGCGGGACATTGTGAAGATTGCGTGTACGGTGCGGTTTGTGACGCTGCCGGAGTCTGCGGAAAAGAGGCCACCCTGACTCCTTATTACTCTCCACTTTTCCGAAAAGCTAAAAATTATCAGCGAAAGCTGCTTTCCGTGAAAGAATGTGTGGACATTGCGCAGTTAATTGTGAAGGTTAAGACCGAAACGAAGATCCGGACAAGGCGTATATTTCGAGCGGTCACGTTGCTTGCCGTTCACACATCAAGTTGGAAGCACCTACTGTAATCCTTGGCCATATCAAGCTTCGAATTTCGCGGCTTCATTCTATCGGGAATTTTATATGCAAGCATATCTTAATACATATCGCAGATCTTTCGCTGGTTCGAGGATGTCTATGGAGATTAGACCTTTTTATTTCTTAGGTATCTAGTAGATTTCATACACAGGGCGCTATTGACTAATTTTGTCAAAGCATGTATTATTACAATGTGTTTAAGACCGTATCACGTATTGCATAAAACTCCTCAATGATATACGATAGGTATATTTGTGTGTGGTATCTGAACAGTGTGTCTACGTACATGTAATTTCAACGAAGCTTACCCAATTTCTAAGAGAACTTCAAAGTTTACGGGTTGTATAACTGTGTGGAAAATGTAAATAAGAATGTGAGAGGGTTTACAAGGCCTTAAAACACATTAAAATGGTCAGGAAACATGTGGGTTTTCGCAGTGAGTTCTAGAACGCAACCCCCATGATCAGGGGGGGACCACTGTAGTCCGTTTCGCCTTCCGAAAGTTGTATTACCGGGGATTTGTTCACGGTCGTGTGGATCACAACCTCGGAACTATCGTGTTTCCCGTCATGTGTTAACCTAGTACAGATAGGGCGGAATAACATCACGGACAGTTGCAGTGGAGCCTGGAATGACCATTTCTGGATTGTCAGCCGTCATCAGCCAGTCACACCCAACCGCGAGGTATGCTATTCCCGAGGCTCGAACTCCCGACCTCTTGGCTAGAAGTCCAACGCCCTAATCACGGGCTCGTTTTCCTGTCGGTTTGCGATCGGGTACACTAACAATGGTTAAGGGGCGCGCACCCATCGCGTTATGAAACTCACTCGTCCCTTTGTGCCCGTGACTCACTGCACTCTCGCCTTGTTTTTTTCGGTCAGCCTTCATTCCCGTTCCCCTTGTTGTTTAGTGATCCGATACTTTGTCGCCTGTTTGCGGTCCCGCAACAGTATTAGGAGCTTTTTTTCCTCAGAGACGGCAGACCGACCGGTGTGTGCATCTCATTTGCCAGCCTACACTATCTATCAGGACTGATGAGTGACATTCACTGTCCACTTTCTGAGCGCCTTCTCCTGTTTTCAGTCCTAGCTGTTTCGTGGCTGTCTGACTGCCTGTCTAAGTGAGAACACAAGAAGCCCTGGATGGGTTGAATTCAGCTGCTCACCTTTCCGGCGGCAGTACCTGTTTTGACATGCTGCAAGTTCAGTTCACGACAGCCATGAAAGGACCATATTCCGGCTGCCGCCACATAGGCCTGATACCACAGCCTCAATGCGGGCACCGTATGACCAAAAGCCTCTGGGTGTCACGCTGTAGTCCTGCAATCGCACGAAAGGTATGCCAAACTTGCTGCTTAGGCGACCTCATCGCCCCGGCATGAGCAGGACTGCTTCAGTTGTGCGTCAATTGCCATGAAAATTCGATCATCATTGCCGACGATGTTGACTACGTGCTCTACAGCTGGATGAGAGCAGGGACGGTGACTTGCGCGTTTAGTGATAGTAGACTTTCGCGGCATCTACCGCACTGTCTCCACCACCCCCACCTAGGCCCGTTGTCATGACCAAGTCAAGAAGACCGGAGGCGGGAGAGGACGCACGTGGTTGGCATGGCGAAACCTGCACCCAGGTGTACCAACGCACCTCCTGGTCCACAACGGACACTGGTCAAGATTTATACACCAAAAAATGGGGAGGCGGCACAGATCTCGACTGGCGTGACATGAGCCTGAAACTGGGTCTGCCACCGTACCCCGAATGTTGGCATTTGTTATGGGTGCACCTGTCCAATAACGCCTGACGAATCCCGATTAAGCCCCTATTTTAGTCCAACGCATCTACCGCCTGGTCCGTCCTAGGGGCATAATTGCCCTGAACTGATCCAGTCGCAGGCAGCCGTTTTAATTATACTCTACCCAGAGTGGATCGTAGTCTTGTTGCTCCTAGAGGTCTTCTCTATCCGATCGGGGATTTCAGCTTCAGATCTGAGCGCCCAGTCCCTCTGCTCGTTCAAGTCAGGATCAGGATCAATCCCCCGTGGTCCCTTTCCATCTTTCTGCTCGGTTTTCGCTGTGCTTCTTGTCCGTATCAGAAACCAACCGTTTTGTACCTCAAGTACCTCGTTAAACACGGAGCCTATTTACGGCGAAGTGAGCAGATAAACGATCGCGTCTGGCGTTTTATGTTTTCCGACAGTGTTTACTGTATCCACCGCAAAACGAACTGCTACCTTCAGTATACCTGATCTATGCCTTTAAAGCACCCGCAAGCCTGGAGACAAAGACATGCTGCAGACGTAATTTTTTTACACGTGGGATCCCCAAGGGGGTTTTTAGGTCAAAGATAGTAAGTCGGGGAATCGTTAGTTTATGTCAACGTGGTGGTCATCACCACGCATAGTTTTCTTACTGCCCCAACCATGCAGTTATGAGAACGCTGTTATGTTTTAAGGCGCAATATCGCACAGATTCACAAAGTAGGAGAATAAAATATTGTTGTTTTTTTTATAAAATAGCTCGATTATTCACATCTTGCATCATTTACTTTATTTACGCCGACTGAAGTATAACGTTTCAAGTTAACGAACGTTGTTTCCGTAAACCGTTCTTGCCTAGACGAGTGCCTTGTCCTGGATAAACACGCCCAGCGATGCGCAGATGCGACAGTTTCTAGATTAGGAAGCTGTCGGGATCTAAAGAGCGGCTGATTCCTGTCTAAAAACACGCCCCGGCAGAATGGCGTACATGCCACCCTCATGCCGTGGAGTAATCCGGATTTCTCATGGTAAGACGTGAGCCCCTTAGCGCAGTAGCGAGAGTCATGTTTTATGATAGA